GGATAAAGATGGGTAAGCAAGATTTTGGATAACAATAGGTAAACGAAATTTCTTACCGCGAGCAAGATTAATTTTGAATAATTGTTAAGAAAGAGAGAAGATGTTTTTGTAATCCTTTGGAAAAGGAAAGAACCTTAAATGTATGGGGAATTATTGGATATGGGGGTTGGATGTCATGTAACTGATAGACTAGATTTAAGGGATCTTGAATTTCTTCTTCTTGATGATTTTGTATATAACTAGTAAATATAGATATACAAAGTAATTAATAAGGAACCAAAATAAATATGGTGAATAGGTTTCTATTATAGTATAGCTAGGTAAAAGCCCCTATTTTTTCATGGTGCCATAAGTGCTCAATATTATTGTATTAATACATTCCAAGATAATAGTGCAAGGCTTGACCTCTAGTATTCCGTAGTTATATTTAGAATTTAGCCTATTTTAAAACGGTTTTAGCCTATTTTATTTTATAGGAGTATATTAATTTTTTTTAAAAAAATTATTTATACATCTACATAATAAGAATATATATATATATATATATNACTGATAAACATAGGGGTGACAAAATAGTTAAAAGAGAATAGTTAACCACCCATATTATTTACTAAAAAATGGGTTAGATAATGAATTTTTTAAAAATGGGTTAAATATGGATAAGAACCATATTATCCATTTAGAAAATGGATAACTAATGGTAACTTTTACATTTATAAAGTCTCAAATTGAGGGTTCCTCAAGTTATGGAGACTAAGCTAGCATTTGGCCATAGATTCCCAAATTTGTTTTGAAAAATCTGATTTGGGTAAAATTTGGTTTGAAGATGAAAATGTATTTGGACATACATTTTCAAAACATATTTTCCAAATTTATTTTTGGAAAAACATGTATATTATTAGTGTTTATAAAGATTTTGGCCCAAAACCAGCTCTTTATTTGAGATTTTGCCAAAATATAGGCAAAATCTATGGTCAAACATGTATTTGCCAAATAAAATCTAAGTTTATTTTGGCAAAATCTATGGCCAAACGGGTTCTCATATGCTAGAAGTCATGGATAATTTATCGGTATAACCCGTTTTTTATCCGTATTAAAATGGGTCGGGTCGGATAATTTATCTATTTTTCCATTACCCGTTTTCGACTCGAACCATATCCGACCCGACCCACCACTCTGAGATAAGCACAAACGACGTAACAAATTCACCATTTCCCATGTTCGAACGTATCTTCCTATAAAATACTACTAGTACCTATTTCATGGTAAGCTAAAAATGAGAGGTTAGTTGAATTAAAGAAACATCATGTCCAAATCTAACTTTGAATCGTACCCTCCATTGTTTCGCCCAGCAAACATCCCAAGGTTGGACAGAGATAAAGCAGAGACACTATCAAAGTTAGCAGTGGAGGCTGCTAATATCCCTGTGATATCGATTGACTTACAATGCACAACAAGCTGTATGAGCGAAGCGTGTAGAAATTGGGGATTATTTCGTTTGGCGAACCATGGTATTCCAATTACGCTGTTGAACCAAATTGAAGAACATGCTAAAAAGCTCTTCTCTCTGCCCTATGAAACTAAAAAAGCCTTCTTCTCAAGCAGCCCTATATCCTACTTTTGGGGTACCCCTGCTCTAACTCCTTCTGGATCTGCTATACCACAAAAACCAAATAATCAGCAGAGCCTACAATGGATGGAAGGATTCAATGTTTCTTTATCTCAATTATCACATCTTCATTATCAAGATGTATTGCTCGAAACTTTCAGGTTCTTCTTCTTCTTCTTTACGTGTTTGCTTCAAAGTTTTCCTCGTTATTTTTGGGTCTTTCAAATATGTGATTGTGACTTGTGGAAAAGTTCAGCCGCCATTGAATAGACCAGTTTATGTAAAAAATTTACAACAGGTAACAGTTCATATCAATTGAAATTAGTAATCTAAAAATATGGAAAAATAACCTGATCACTAGTAACATAAAAAGGATTTACTCCCATCAATGTGTATAAAAACTGCTTAATTACTACCCTATCACTATCAGTATGTGTTATAAATACTTCCATTTGTAGTCTGTCCTGAAGACCAAAACTCAAAGGAGTAGGTCGGAGATTAATTAATAAATTTTCTAGGAAAACATTTTTTCCTACGTACCAAACACACCGTAGTGTTGATGTTTTTTCCCATCTTTTCATTTTCACGTGTCAAATAATTGTACCCGCAATGCGAATAACTACTCTTCGTTTAGTCACGGTCACGCGTGTCAATGGATGTTTAAAGTCGACTAAACCGATCGAATCGTATCGAACCAAATTTTAGGTTTTTTTTAATAAAATCGTAGATTTTTATATAAATTTATAACCGTACCGATAATTAGAGTAGGTTTTTTATTTTATGAATATAAACCAAAAAAATACCGAACCGTACCGAATAAATTTATGATGTGAACAATATATTTATATATTAAGTCTAAAAATAAAAAAGCGTTAAATTTTTTCACGGGCCTTGAAATTATGAAACAGTTACAAGCCAACAAGAAAATCAACTCAAAATCATAATTCTCAAACCTGTTGTGCTACTCCTATTGAAACTAAATTATTTCCAGTATGTTCACTAGCAAGAAATGAGGTATTGTAGTGATTATGAATAACAAACTACAATGTATTGAATATGTTTCCTTTCGTATGATTGTTTTTTGAATATTTAATATTCTATAGACGTTATTCTTGAATCCCAGCTTAGTTAATATTTTTTCCACTCGCGTGTGATTTATATTGGTTTTGTATTTGCTTAGTTTTTTTAATGCTGATGTAGAATAATTGGTGGATCTATACTCTAACCATCTTTCATATTTTTTTAATTCTGTCACCTTTTTATCAGTAAAAATGTCATAAGTGCTTTGTCAAGTCCTATAAAAGTACGTTGTTATTGCATTCTACTTTTATTAGTAACTTTTACATGACATTAAAAAAAATTATAAAAAATTTATCGAACCGTACCGATACCGAAGAGAAACCTGACGGTTTTAAAAAGTCTAATTTAGGTTATACATAACAGAATAACCGAAAAATTGATATGATACAAATTTTATAAAATAATCGACCGAATCGAACCATTGACACTCCCTGGTCACAGTTACCGTCCATTTTCGACTAGAGGAAAAGACAGAGATAACGACAACCGTGAACGCAACCAAAATTCATGCTCGCGCCCACTTTATCTTTTTCTTCGCCGAGTCTGAAATGTGACGTTTTCTCCATAATTAACGCCATAAATGAGCCTGTAATGTGACGTTCTCTCCCTTTCATTTAATTTTTAATGTTTTGATCTAGTAGAATTTTGAAAGAAAAAAAGGTTTCGACATATAAACTCTTGAAAAAGACTTCTGAATATAAAAAATAGTACTAACATATATTATTTTTAAAATAAATTAAAGGAAAAAAGTGTTTCAAATGAAATGAAGTGTACAATATCAATAATAGATGCTTATTTTCCTGTTCGTCTTTATCTTCTTCAGCGGATCAAAATAACCAATAAGATTGTCTACTTTATTTTAAGTACAAACCCAACCTTTTCTCTCCTCTGGTTCTCTGCTTTTCATGATATTTAATTACTAAGACTATTTACTAACAATAAACGTAAAATTTCTCTGGATTCCTCGATTCCTTTGTCTCTACTCTTTGCTTTTAATTAACAATACACAGGATTTGTCTGCTTTGATTCCCTAGTCTTTATTTTCCCGAACGACAATGTTGTCACGTATTTGCTGCTAGCCAATTAAAGTAGAACATCCACGCAAAAATAATTGCTGTTTCCAACATCAATTCGGCAACCTAAGACCGTGTACGAAGTAATTGATGTCAGTCTTATCAGAATGATCTTGTACTATAGTGATTTTACAAAGCCCAAAATCAATCAACAACTTTTCGTGATTTTTCTCTTCAATTATCGATAGCCTTTTGCCCCGTTTGGCCATGAGTTTTCCGTAATAAATTTGGGATTTATTTTCAAAATTTATATTTGGCCATAAATTTTGTCCGTATTTTGGCAAAATTTCAAATCCCAAAATCACCTCAATTGCTAATTTTGGGCCAAATTCCCAAAACTTGGGAATTATATACATATTTTTGCAAAATAAAGTTGAGAAACACATTTTGAAAACGTATGTCCAAATGTTTCTTGATACTTCTCTAATATTGATATTACCTTCATTTCATTTAATACAATATTTTTTTTCTTTCTTAAACTTTGTATACGGTAAAATCGGAGGGTCCAATTTTCCATCGTTAGGACACCCCGAAGGCTCGAAATCACGGTCGAGTTTTATCCCTCGAGGGCCATCGATGCTCGACCTCGGAACCGTATGAGGCCGACGGTTACGGGAAGAAAATGGAAAGTTCCCAAGGCGTGAAGCTGGAACCGACAAGATCTGTCAGGCTAGTCTGAGCCCGTATCTTGGCATTAGTTAGGTGTCCCATCTCCATATCTTTGTAATAAATGCATTTGTACTATGTTGGGATTCCCCCTCTTATATAAAGAGGATCCTTATCATTTTGTAAATATCGGTTGCTCCATACTAAATATACAAGAACATTATTTCTGCTCTCTAACATATTCTCTTAATCTTATTACTTCATTTATTGCTTGTACTTATTGTGATTCTATTCATTGTTCATCATTTATTGCTTATTATTGACCATAAAGAGCCCCCCTTGATCTATTTATAACTGTTATTCGCCATCGACCGCCTTCGATAGCTTCCAGCCAAGCTTCGGACCCGACCTCGAGGCCCTCGAATAGGCAAGTTTGAGGCCCCGATTGACAGCGATTTGATTTGATTAACACCTCGTTCTTAAGTTCTTATTTCATTTCTAAGTCTTTCACACAACATCAACTGCCTACCAACTAGCATAAAAATAGATCACGTATTTTTAGAACCACAAAATCAAATTCAATTATTATTACCATTTTCACGGTAAACAGTTTGGCGCCCACCGTGGGCTAAAAATAATAGTGATTATTTTCTTGCTGGTTTAACTACATAACTCAAGTTATCTTTCATGCTTTTTCTTGTCCAAGATCTTTGATTTCAGGTCAAAATGTCCGACTCAGTAAACAACAATCTTGAGAACCACGGAGAAAATGGCGCAGATGTTCCAGGTGCTGGCGTACCACCACGAAACCCTGAGAACGTGCCAGAACCGATCTCCGTGAATACGGTCTCACGCGATGCTCAACACGTCGATGTAAGCTCCCACACTAACAGGAGCGTGCACCGAGGAGACCAACAAGAAGCCCATGAAACCCCGGATATGGGAGAACAAGAGGTTAGCCTTCACGTTATTTTTGAAATGTTGCAAGCACAACAGTTAGCGATTGTTCAGCTGCAAAGTCACCAGAAAACTCTCAGCACGGTAGCGCCGGGGACGGCTCCCCGGGCCGAGCAGATACTAGAGAGGTCAAGAGACAACGGGTCAGTAGCCGACCCCGCCATCGTAAACTTGCTCAAGGACCTCACAAAGAGGATCGAATCGGGCGAAAAGAAGATAGAAGCCAACGACAAAAAGGTCGAGACCTACAACTCCAAGGTCGACCAAATTCCGGGCGCACCCCCGATCTTGAAAGGTGTGGATTCGAAGAAGTTTATACAAAGGTCGTTCCCAGAGGAAGCGGCTACAAAACCCATTCCAAAGAAGTTCAGAATGCCAGACCTTCCAAAATACAACGGGACCTCAGACCCCAATGAGCACGTTACTACTTACACTTGTGCAGTGAAGGGCAACGACATAAAAGACGACGAGATCGAGTCCATCTTACTAAAGAAGTTCGGGGAAACACTCTCGAAGGGGGCCATGATGTGGTGTCACAACCTAGCTCCTAACTCCATAGACTTATTTTCCATGTTGGCAGACTCCTTCATAAAGGCACATGTCGGTGCCATCAAAGTAGCAACAAGGAAATCTGACATCTTCAAGATCAAGTAGAAGGGAGAACGAAATGCTGCGAGAGTTCGTATCTCGCTTTCAAATGGAACAGATGGAACTACCGCCAGTCTCCGACGAGTGGGCAGTACAGGCCTTCACTCAAGGTCTGAATGAGTGAAGCTCGGTGGCTTCGAAGCAACTGAAATAGAACCTGGTCGAATATCGCGCCGTGACCTGGTCGAACGTTCACAATCGATATCAATCAAAAATCAGGGCCGAGGATGACCAACTAGGGGGCCCCTCGGTCTCGGTATACCCAAGTAGGCTTTTGGCGAAGGAGCCAAAACCAAACAAGGAAAGGTACCGGCCATACACCGACGGCAGGAGAAACACCCCGAGGCGTAACATACCTCGCAATGATCGAAGGATGGACCGAGGTCAAAAACCTCGGGGATTCGTCAACAGAGCTGGATTTGACAGGAACACGGGGCCAGCAGAGGCACCTTGCTTGTCGGAGTATAACTTCAACGTAGATGTATTAGACATTGTGTTCGCCATCAGTAAAATCAGAGACGCCAGGTGGCCCAGGCCTATGCAATCAGATCCTTCGCAAAGAAATCATAACTTAGTTTGTGAGTTTCACAACACGCACGACCACAGGACCGATGATTACCACCATCTCCGAGAGGAAGTAGCCAGACTACTCAATAAAGGTTACCTCCGAGAATTCCTCAGCGATCGGGCCAAAAACCAATTCCGGGAAAGAGAGGCGGCCAAGAAGAACGAAACAAATGAGTCACAACATGTCATCCACATGATCTTGGGAGGCGTTGATGCCCCACAAGAGCCCA